ATATATATATATATTTATAATAAATTTTGTTTAATTTATTGTATAAAAAATTTAAAATTTGCTACATAATAAAATAGATGTGTAATTATAATAATATCTCTTCTAACACATTTGTTGCACAAAAAAATCAAATTACATATAACAAAATAAATCCAATTATTAAAATTTAACATTAAATATAAAAATATAACAAAAAATTGGTGGACTAGAATGTTTAACCTAACCTATATTGTTTTGACAGGCTGAGATATGTTTTTTTTTGTTATCTCTATTTATAAACATTCCAAGAAATTCTATAAACAATTAAATATATTTAATCATTTCTATAAATCATGATTCCTGGTTATGAAAAACTTTATTTGAAATTTGATTTAATTGAACATTATGATTTTATTGTTATAATTGATGAGAGTAATATTTAGCATGAAGGATTTGGTCACACTTTTATGTAAGATGTATTTGATATGATAAATGCCAACAAATGATATTAAAGATCGGATGATAGGTTAAATTGAATAACTATGAAAATAATAATTTAGATTAAGAAATTGATGTGTAACAACTTATTAACATAATGATTGAAACATTTTTTAAATCAAGTTTTGGAGTTCATGAAAATAAAATTTGAAATGTTTATAACAAATTTCAAAGAAAAATGTTAGATTTATGAGATTTTTCTTTATTTAAAGTTGAAATTTTAAAAATTTTAGATAAAATATTTGTTATTGTTATACTTTTATTTTTTATATTTAATTTTTAGTTAGTCAATGTAATATCAATAAATAGGGTTAGTAGATTATTAAAAATTTTAAAATGATTAAAAATTTATACACAAATATCCTTTTATTGGAATTTTATAACAATTTCAAGGACAATTTTTCATTTTCAATTTTAATTTATATCCAATTTTTCACAAATTTCCAACACTTCTTGTGGGAATATTAGAGCATCTGTAATGGGAGTTGCTTATAAGCAACCTCCTATGCCACATCACTGTCACATCAGCTCTAACTCACTTTATGGGTTACTTAAATTTTAGCAGAATTGCTTCTACAAGCAACTTTGCTAAAATTTAAGCAATTCATAAAATAGGTCAGAGCTAATTTGGCAGTGATGTAGAATAGGTATTTGTTTATAAGCGATCTCCGTTAAAGATGCTGAGAAGGTATTACCGGGAAAAGAAAAAAAAATTGGTTTCACGGAATTCCATGTTGGATGGTTATGCCAAGTGTGAACAAATGGCTTTGGCTCAGAAAGTTTTTGACTCCATGCCAGAGAAGGATGTTCGATCGGTTGTGAAGATCTTTTAATCAATATAAAGATATTTTTATATAATTATTTGTTCAAAATAAATTATTGTTTAAAAATATTTTAATTTCTTGGATAGTAAAATGAAATTTTATATAGATTTTGATATATTTTTACACTATTTTTTTTATATCTTTTACATTTTTTTTCCTTTTATTACTTCTTTAATTTCAAACGTACCAGGAACAGGAAGGAAGATTCGGTGCAAATGTATTCCGCAACTGCAACATTTTTTTATAGAAATGGATCCTCTGACTTTGCGAAAGGAAAGCTATAGTAATTTAATGCATTTAAATTATTGGATTTGTAATAATAGATCAGATTGTGATACGTAAAGCTGTCAAAGTAGTCTGGGACCCGTGGGCCAACCTGGCCCACCTTGAAAACGGGCCGGACCGGGCAAAAAAATTAAAGTTTTATAGTAGGTGAGTATATATCAACTCGGCTCACTTTGACCTGGCCCACCCGGGCTGAACCCGTGGTGGGCCGGGTAGCCTACCAATTCACAATTTTTTTTTGCAGTAAAAATTTAAGTATGATTTGTAGTTAATTTTGTATGATGAGATATTAAAATTTTTTATTTTATACTTTTATCATGATTTATATTTAATTTTGTATGATGAATTATAACTTATGACTATTAATGATGCTAATGTTATGACTATTATGTTAATTTATAATTAATTTAAAATTTTGAATTTTGTTGATAATTTTTTTTTATTTTTGGTGGGTTGGTGGGCTGGCTCGTATAACCCACCAACCCATGGTAGGCCGGGCCGGACCAAATTTTTTTTGAGAAAATTAAAAGTAGGTCAGGTTAAGTTGGCTCGTTTTTAAAGTAGATCAAGGTGAGTCAGCTTAGATGGACCGGGCCTATTTTAACAGCTCTAGTAACACGTATATAATATATATTTTAATTTAAATATACTCGTCTCATAATTTAATTTATTATTATAAATTCAACAATTTAAATGTATTAAATTATCATAATTTTTATATTTCAAAGTTAGGGAAACTGAGTCCGAATTTTTTGAGCAAGAGATTTTCCGGGTTAGTGATGCTAAAGACAAACTTTTCGCTGTCCCTCACGATAGCTCAAACACCAATGTTTAGAGAGAAAAAAATATAGGAAAACATCGATAATAAAATTATTGGAGAATCAACTTTGTGCCATTGTGATATGAAAATAATTAATCATATTGGAATGAGTGTGTCGATTCCCAGAGAAAAAAGGTTAAACTGTTTCGTTTGTTGCTGGTCATTAATTCCAAAAGCAAAAGACAAATGCAAGGACATGGTCATAATATCATCACAGTGAAGTAGGCGTATATTCATATATCAATCAATGATATCATGGTGATACTTTTGATACAATAAATTGACCACTCTAAAGTGATATGCCAGAAACAAACTTTGCATGAAGATCATCTCCCCCACCAATCGATGCACCCGTATCCTACAACATCTATATCCTTTTCATTTTTTTCTTGCCGATACAACATCTATGTGAAATTGATAGATGTGAAGTCTACCTGTTTCCATTTTGATTTTGCATGTAACAACAGTTCAAATATTTCAAATTATTTGAGATCGTCTTGCTTTTCATAAAATGTAAATCAGGTGGTACTGGTTATCACTCGGTAGTAATCTTAGTCTATTTGCACAAGAAATTTTATAAATTTAAGAAATTTTAAATTTTTAGTATTTAAATTACTTTAATTTTAATTTTTATTATTCTTAAAATATTTTGTTTAGATAAGTCAATTTAAATTTTTAAATTTTAAATTGTTAAGTTGAATATGATAATTTAATTCCACCATAATAAAATTGATTTTAAAAATATATTTATATATTGGATTTGTAATAATAGATCAGATTGTGATACGTAAAGCTGTCAAAGTAGTCTGGGACCCGTGGGCCAACCTGGCCCACCTTGAAAACGGGCCGGACCGGGCAAAAAAATTAAAGTTTTATAGTAGGTGAGTATATATCAACTCGGCTCACTTTGACCTGGCCCACCC